TACACACCTAATAGAATGTCTAATTTAAAAAAAAACAAAAAACAAAAAAAATGTAATACAAGGCATGCTCCAGTGGAGCAACTGGAACTCTCATGAATTGTTGATGGGAGCGCAAAATGGTACAGTCACTATGGAAAAGGTTTTGGCAGTATCTTGTAAAGTTAAACATACAATTGATGACCCAGTTAAACATAGTCGATGACCCAGCAATCTCACTTCTGGGTATTTACCCTAGAGCAGGGTTTTTCAATAGTGGCACTATTTTTTGTGGCCAGATAATTCTTTGTTGTGGGGAGTTGTCCTACGCATTGCAGGATGTGTAGCAGCATCCCTGAACTTTTTCCTACTTAATGACAGTGGCACCACATCCTCCACCCCAGACAACCAAAAATGTCTTCAGACATTGCCAAATGTCCCTTAGGGGGCTAAGTCACCCCTGGTTGTGAACCACTGCCCTAGAGAAATGAAAATGTATGTCCACAAAAATCTATAAAAGACCCTCAAGATCAGGAACAAGACAAGGATGCCCACTTTTGCTATTTCTAGTCAACAAAGTATTGGAAGTTCTAGCCAAAGCAATTAGGCAAAAAAAGAAATAAAAGGCATCCAAACTGGAAAAGAAGAAGCAAAATAATCTGCTTACTGATAACATGGTCTTATATGTGGAAAACTCCAAAGATTCCACAAAAAATAATAATAAACAAAAAATAAACAAATTCAGCAAGGTTGCAGGATACAAAATCAACACCCAAAATTCAGTTGCATTTCTATACACTAACAATGAACAATCTGAAAAGGAAATTAAGAAAACAATTTCATATTACAATAGCACCAAAAAATAAAATATTTTGGAATGAATTTAACCAAGGAGACAAAGACTTGTACACTGAAAACTACACAACATTGCTGAAAGAAAGTAAAGCAGACATAAATAAATGGAAAGACATCCTGTGTTCATGGATTGGAAGATTTAATACTGTTAAGAGTACATTACCCAAAGCATTCTCTATCAAAATGCCAAAGGCATTTTTTGCAGAAATAGAAAAGCCCATCCTAAAATTGACATGGAATCTCAAGGAACCCTGAATAGCAAAATCAATCTGGAAAAAGAAGACCAAAGTTGGAAAATTCACACTTTCTGATTTCAAAACTTACTATAAAGCTACAGTAATCAAAACAGTATGATACTGGAATGCAGACAGTCATACAGACCAATGGAATAGAATAAAGAGCCTAGAAATAACCTTCACATATATGGTCAATTGATTTTCAACAAAGGTGCCAAGACCATTCAGTGGAGAAAGGGCAGTCTTTTCAACAAGTAAGGCTGGGAAAACTGGATATCCACATGCAAAAGGATAAAGTTGGACCCTAACATTAGACCATATACAAAAATTAACTCAAAAAGGATCAAAGACCTCAACATGAGAGCTAAAACTATAAAACTCTTAGAAGAAAACATAAGGGAAAACTTCATGACATTGGGTTTGGTAACAATTTACTGCATATGACATCAAAAGCACAGGCAATAAAAGAAAAAAGAAGATAAATTTGACTTCATCAAAATTAAAAACTTTTGTGCATCAAAAGACACTATCAAGAGAATGAAAAGATAACCCATAGAATGGGAGAAAAAATTTACAAATCATTATTTGATAAGGGGTTAATATCTATAGTATATTAAAAAATAACCTCTACAACCCAACAACAAAAAACAAACAACCCAATGCAAAAATGGGTACAGAACTTGATTAGACATTTCTCCAAAGAAGATATACAAATGGCCAATAAACACACGAAAAGATGCTTAACATCACTAATCATTAGGGAAATTTAAACAAAAACCACAATGAGATATCACTTCACACCCATTAGAATAGCTATTATAAAAAAGCAAACAAACGAATAAACAAAAAAACAGAAAATAAGTGTTGGTGAGGATGTAGAGAAATTGGAAACAATTTGCATTACTGGTGGGAATGTAAAATGGTTTGACTGCTGTGGAAAACAGTTTGGTGGTTCCTCAAAAAAGTTAAACATAAATTACCATATGATCCAGCAATTCTACTTCTAGGTATATATCCAAAAGAATTGAAAGCAAAAACTCAAACATACTTGTATACCAATGTTCATAGCAGCATTGTTCATAATGGCCAAAATGTAGAAACAACCCAAGTGTTCATCAACAGATGAATGGATAAACAAAATGTGGTGTATCCATACAGTGGAGTATTAGTCAGCCTTAAAAAGGAATGAAATTCTGATACATGCTACAGTACAGATGAATCTTGAAAACAGTATGCTAAAAGAAAGAAGGCAGACACAAAAGAACAAATATTGTATGATTCCACTTATATGAGGTACCTAGAATAGCAAATTCACAAAGACAAAAAGTAGACTCAGGGGAAAGGGACTAGGGAGTTATTGTTTAATGGGTACAGAGTTTCTGTTTGGGATGATGAAAAAGTTCTGGAAATGGATAGTGGTAATGGTTGCACAACATTGTGAATGTACCTAATGCCACTGAATTGTACATCTAAAAATGTTTAAAATGGTAAATTTTATGTTATGTGTATTTCACTACAGTAAAAAAAAATCAAAAAACAAAAACCCCCAAAATCTGTAGAAGAATGTTTATAACAATTCTATTCATACTTGCCAAAAAACTTGAAACAATACAAGTGTCCTTCAATGGCTGAGTGGATAAACAAACTGTGGCACACCTATATACTTGAATACTACTCAGCAATAAAACAGAAAGAACTAGTGACACATGTAACAATTTGGATGAATCTCAAAGATATGCTGAGTGAAAGAAGCCAGTCTCAAAAGATGGCATACTATATGATTCCCTTCACATGACATTCTTGAAAAGACAAAACTATAGTGATGAAGAACACATCAGTGGTTGCCAGAGGTTAGGGTTGTGGAGAGGATGTGGCTATACACAGGTGGCGCAAAGGAGTATCTTGGAGTGGTGGAGCTGTTTTGTATCCTGATGGTGGTGGTGGTTACACGAATTGATAACAGAACTGCACACCAAGAGAAAGTCAATTTCACTGTAAGATAATCTAAAAACTAAAAGTATTATAATACCATAATAAAAAATTTATTGTGAGATTTAGAAGTCTAGAATTCTACTACAAAAGCCTTACAAAACTATTGAAATTAAGGAGTTTGAAAAACCCATGAAAAGAGATCACGTAAATTAAAATTTTGTTCATTCTTCTAAATTTTCTATAATTTCACAAACATTTAAAGTAACTAAAGAAGGATATGTAACTTTAATAAAACAAAACTTGTATATCATCCCCTGGCCTAAATTTTTTGTTTTTGGTGAGGAAGATTGGCCCTGAGCTAATATCTGTTGCCAATCTTCCTCTTTTTACTTGAAGAAGATTGTCGCGGAACTAACATCTGTCCTGGCCTAAATTTTTACATTCAGATTAGAACTTGTCCTCAAAGAGACAAAAAATTAACGCATATGATTATGTGCAAAATCAAAATCAAAGTACATTAGTTCTGTCTACCATATAGGGTTGTTATGTGGAACAAGTGAAATAATGTAAATCAAAGTCATTTGAAAATATCGTATTACTGAAGTTAAAAAAACACACAATTGAATGAGATAGGCTAGCCTTTAAACATACTTATATGGTGGATCCCTCACAGCTACGTTCCTTTGGCCAGTATTCAGGGCTCTTAATCTACTGGGTCATATTGCCTAGTAATGCAGAGACAGTCATTAACCAATGATTATCAACTTAGGCTAGAAATCAATCCTTAACTGTATTGTTAATAAAACACTGGTCTGCCTCACAACCTCAAAGATCAAAAATGAACTGATAGTGTCTGGAATGACTCTGCACTTGCTTCTATTAGGTTATAGATTCACTTCCCTTTTCTGTTCTCTGGAGACAGAGCACAGCTGGTCAGCATCCTTTATAAGAGTGTTTTTTTCTAGAAGTTTCCCAAGGGCTATCACTAAGTGTGAAAAACATTGGGAAGACCACAGCAGATTTGTATATGAGTCACTTTCAATTTGCATACAGTTAAGTGCACTTACAGCCCAATTTTTATCAAATAGAAAGGCAAAATGAAGCATTTAATTACCACTTCACTGAAGATTACTGTTTCTAGATGTTTAATTGCCTATTATCTTCATGTATAGGAGGGCAGAATTGTCTTCTCAAAAGTATATATAGTCACAGTGCCTTGAATATTGTCCTAAAGTCTCTTTTCAGAATTTCATAGTTCAAACAGAGATTCTTTCTAGAGAATTCTCTCTAGCGTTCCCTATGTTTTTAAATTTCAGAATGGGCACAGTTCTGGCAAAAGTGCCTGATAATTGCCAGAGGTGCTAAAAGCCCCTATCCCTCTTCAGAATCCAAGGTAAAGAAAACAGAAGGGACAATGGAGGGCAGGAACTGTAAATGGTTGATCAAAGGATGGAGATGTCAGGTCTCCATCCACTCAGGTACAGAAAGACCCTAAAACAGGAATCTCCAGAGACTAAGACACATCCACAGCCCAGAACACTGTAGCCCCCTCCCAGTGGGACTCTGAGTGATTCATCCTTCAGAAAGGTTCAGAGGCAGTCAAGGCAGGGCCACCAGGTGGTCTGGTGGAAGGAAACATCCAACGTGTGAGTTTTTATACCTTAGACTCTGGACATCCAGGGAACTACAGACCTATTGAGGTCAAGCAGGATATCAGAGCCCTGGTGAAAAGAACTGCTGGCGTTACACACACCTCAGCCCTGGGGGCACTTGAAATACGGTGGCCTTGAAATGGTATGAGGAGCTGAATATTGCACGAAAGAAAACCAGCTTCAAATCGATTTGTTCCCAGGCTAGAAAACATTGTAACCTGATATAACAATCAAGTGATTGTTTTAAGATTGCACGGGGCTTTCTGAAGGATATGTTTCCTTTATAATGAACTTATAAGAATATAGATTGGGGTGAAGAATAAGAAGAGTGTGAAAAATATAGGATTACCATTTGGATGTAGCTTTCTTCCTCTTCTCTGGAAGCAGAATTGGCAAAAAATCTTGCAGAATTAATACCATTTCTTTCTGGAGAGAGAAAGCTGGTTCGATTGCTAAGAATAAAAATATGGATGAAGTCAAAGCAATGTCCTACAGCTGCTCTGAAAGCCAGCCATAAACTGACATGGCCCCTGTGGGGTTTCAGCCCTTCCCTTCCAGATACAATTTCCTTCTGTCCAAAGCAATTCCTGAAGCAGTAGAGACTGCCCAGCGGCTTCTGTCCCACTTTGGAGCAAATGGCTCCCATTCTCAAAGGCTACTTTTTTTCCAGGCCCTCCATGTGACACAGCTCATGAGCTTTCTAAAAACAAACCAAGGCATCGTATCATTTAGGGAAAAAACCCAAAACTCTCCTTTGAAGCTCTCTTGTTTCCATTCAAGATAACCAGGAAAAGTAAGAAAGTATGGCCATTCCTCTGATGGGATGAGAACAAGACTGTAAATCAACTTTCATCCCACTCCTGAGTCAGAAGTGCAGGTTGAGTCTCTCCACAGTCTTGGCTGGAAATATAGCTTTACATAGTCATTGTGTCCTGTGGCATTTAGAGTAAACCAAGCAACTCCTGGGCCAGGCTCATGACTCTGAAAATGCAACTTCTAAAAGGTGAGATGAGAGAGTGCAAATCCATTTTGGAGTTTGTCTATCAAGCCCATGAACTATCACTCTTTCTCTGAGAACCCCCTTCACCAAGTTGGGTTTCTGGAAGCCATGTCAGTACTACCAGCCCTTCCCCCTGGGCCATAGCTGATTCCACTCAGGCTGGGGCAATATGAATTCCCTCTCCCAAGAAATATGAATTGGGATTGAAAAGGAGCCTATCTCTGTTGGTACTGGAATTGTAGCACGTAAATAAGCTCAAGATCTATGGTACAGCTATCTTTGGCCATAAGGATTGTGCAACAGAGAAGAGTTCTCCAAAGAAAGAAGAATGAGCAAATGTGAAGAGAGAAGGAGATGTGAGAGACGGAGAGAGAGGATTCCTTGGGTTCCCAGCAGCACTCTAGCTCCTGATTCCAGTATCCTGGGAGACTCAGTTATATTCCTTCCTCTGTAATCTATAAAACACTTCTAGCTCATGATAATAAACCCCATCCCTCCTTTGGCTTAAGCTAAATCAAGTGGGTTTCAACTACATTTTAATCAAAGAGGCCTAACTATGACCAAGGGTGTCTGTGCTGGACAATGCCCCTTGGAGCAATCAAAGACTTACCACGGCACAGTGTGAGTCCTGGTTAGCGATGCGTGTTCCCGGATGGTGGAGAGGTTTCTCAGGTCCAGGGGAGGTGGCCGTGCTACAAGATAACACATAATATCCAGTATGGTAAGTTCTTATGAGTTCAAGACCAGCATCTAAAGACTGTGAAACTATGACGTTCCATTTGCCTAGCACATCAGATCCAAATTTACTAACAAGCAGCACTGATGGTGAGTGTGAATTTCACTGTCCTACTCTTCCATGCCTCACTAGGGTGGAGAGGACAACTACTGAGCAAATGGTCACATTAGCAGCTGGAGGTAACAACGAGGCAATACATTTAGTCAACATACATTTCTTGAGAAGTGACTATGTGTCAGGCATGGTTCTAGGTGATAGAGACACAGTACGAACAAAACAGATGAAATTCTCTGACCTTATGGAATCCCAACACCTACCTCACACTCGACATGTCCGAAATTGAAATTTTACCTTTCTTATCACAGGCAGAGATGATCACCCAGGTTCTAGTCTCCCCCACCTCCAGTCCATTGTCTACCTGATGGTCCTTCTTCCTAGAACATTCTTCCCCATCTCTCTGCCTGGTTAGTCATCTTCAGATCTCAGCTCAATGTCCCCTGCTTAGGAAGGCCTTCTTTGACCTCCAGACAAGATCAGGCCCCACATCATGGGCTCTCCTGAGTTCTTGTACTTACCCTTCACAGCACTCCCCACAGCTTGTGATGATACATTCATCTGTGATTATCTGATTCAGGTCTAGACTGACTGTGCTCGGGGAGGACAGAAGTTTTGCTGGCTTGTTCACTGCAGTAGCTGAGTTGGTCATGCATATATTCCTCTATCACTGCCTCGACCAGTTGGCTTTTTGTATCTCTTGCCTGCACTAGACTACATGGGTAGAGACTGTTTAACTTCCCTCCACATCACCAGAGCCTAGGACAGTGACTTTCCTGCTGCTCAATCAGTTTCCCAGGAGCCTCAGACCCAAGCAAGGTGCTGAGCTGTAAAGGACGTGTGAGTCATATAGTCCCTGGGGAGAAGATCTCTCCTGGTAGCATGACACCCTGGTGTCAGATTCACCAACCAGCCACCTCCTGGCTTCACCACCTGTCCTCTCCTAGTTGGGCCCCAGGGTCCATCCCCATGGCCACACTTGTCAGAACTAGCTCCTCCTGGTCCAGGTGTCCACCTTCACATCAACTCAATGAATCCCGAACCACAAGTCCATCCAACATCTTTGCGCTTTCAATCACCAGGTCCTATAGAGCCGCACTGTCCAATATGGTAGCCACTAGCCATATGTGGCTACTTAAATTTAAGTTTATTAAAATTAAATAAAATTTAAAATTCAGTTCCTCAGTTTCACTAGCCACATTTCAAGTGTTCAATAGCCATATTTCCATCATCACAGAAAGTTCTGTTGGAGAGCATTGCTATAGGAAATTAATTGAGCAAAACAATAATATCTACCTCAAAGTTACAGGTCCTTGTGAAATTATTTCTGACCAGAATGAATGGTTATTTCCTCTGAATCTCATAAGACAGGGTCTGTTCTCCTACTTAGTGCCAACTTCATAATTTTTCTTCTCCTTCTTCCAGGTAGTTTTTACATATCTTCCGCCACCTCAGACTGAAAAACCCTCCTTGCTTCCTCATCTTTGCATCACACCCAGTGCCTAGCATAGTATTACACACACAGCAAACACATTATAAATGTGATTTGACTCAAACTGAAGGTGGCGAGACTGGAATAGACTGGCATGACTAGGGGACATAGTTGCCAGCTTGGGGCACAGCCACCTGAAGCTGTAGTTTTTCCAAAGAGCAAAGAGAGGTAGAAACGGACCAGATGGAGTGTCAGAGATCACAGTCATTGTACCAAAGATTTCCTCAGAATCACATAGCCCTACTGGGCAGGTGATGGTGGGAAAGAATGAAGTTAACAAGGTACTTTGACCTGCTTTTCCTCTTTCCTTCTTCTCCTTTCTCCCTGCCTATCTATGCTGCTTAGCAGACCAGAACAGCTGCCTGGGAGTAATGCAGAAATTTCAAGGAGCTCTGAGCACATAGGAGCTAGACCGCTCACTGCCAAAGTCCTCTCCCACCCCCAAACACCTCTTCTGATGGGCATGCACAGGGCAGTGAGTGATAAGTTGCATATGACCACGTCTGACATTCAGGAATTAGTGTCAAAGGTCATTCTTGGCTGCCTTATAGAAGGGGGGGCACTATAATTACATTCAATGAAGAGATACCAGGTGAGTTCCATTCCCATCCATCATCACCTATTTCTGGGCCTTTGTTAGGGAAGCAACCAAAGATGAGCCCTCTGGAATGAGGCTTTGTAGGCTGTATTTACAGGGCCACAGTACCTGTAAGTCCCCTGACTCCTTTTATCATGACGAGCCGGGGCCGTAAGATTCCTCAGCCCTTCCCATTCAATCCCAGCCATTTTTCCTTGCCCTTATACCTCCCAGCCCTCTGGGATGGTTCCTTCCCAGAGAGGGTCAGGAAGGAAACTTTTCCACATGGCTGCCAGGACCTTGCTCCCCCTCCTCCTTGACCAGGAGGCCTAGTCAAGTGGCTTACGTTTCCTCTGAGGCTTGAGATCTCTGTTCACTGGGGGAGGCTCCAGGTCTGCAGGTAGCTCAGGCAGTGGGCTTGAGATGCTTCCTGAGCTCATTGGGATGTACTCATCTGGGCTGCAGTGGGTTGCAAGACCAGAGGCAATGGCCTGGGGGCCCATGGGCACGTAGCTGTCTTCGGCACTGGCTGAAGCTGTGGGGTACATTGGGGAGAATCTGCATGGCTGCAAGAGAACAGGTACAGGTTGGGAACCACAGAACAGGCACAGACACTGCTACAGTGGTAGCCTCAACTGCACATAGGGTTTCAGTTGTAAATTATCCAAGAATAACTCCAAACTTCCTTAGGAAAGCCAGACAAGCCTCTAACTCAAGCTCTGCCTCTGGACTTATTGTGTGAGGTAGGTGATGACTCTCCTTGATCTGATTCTGGAAGACAGAGGGTCATGAATTTATGCAAATGCTTTAAGTATAACGTGATGCCTTAAGTAGCTATCCCAAGCTGGGAAAGTGTCTGGACAATTAGAACTTATAATTAGCAGGGTCCTTATAGAATACTAAGTCCAGTAATTCCCAGACAAGTTCAGGCCTTAAGGGGAAACTGGAAGGGTCCTCAGAGATTCAGAGTGCTAAGTCTCAAAAGACTTCAAGGGAACATATATAGGTCAGGAAATTTTGGGTAAAATTGAGGCTTAAAGGAACTCACATGCCAAACTTACCAAATTTAAACTAAGCCGCTTGTCTCGGTGTCTTAAGGATTGGCCTTCTACATCAGCTGCAAGAAACAAGCCAGGGTGGTGAGAAATGCAGGACTATATCACTTAAAACTAGAGTCCAAGTCCCAATGCACCACCTCAGGGCCCTGTGCTCAGCTCCAGAGAGGCAGAGAAGCATAACACAGTTTCTATACTCAAGGCTTGCTGTTAAGTCTAGTTGGGCAGTCAGAACACATTCCCCAATTGGACCAGCTTTTGAAGAAGTTTCTGTATGATGGCTTCAGTTCTCTCCGTGAATTAGGAGGAGACATAGCAAGTAATTAACAAATGCTGGTTGCATTTATCACATGAAATTTTCTGAGCTTGGAGGTGGTGGAGACAGAGCTGGAGATTTGAGGTGAGGAGAGAAGGTGTGAAACATCCCTTGTGATGAGCAGGAGGATGGGGTGAACAGAGCAGCAATGGCATTGTGGAGCAGCACTGAGGGCTTGTTTGAGATTGGTGACCATGAATTGGTGACCGTGATTCTCTGCAGCAGTTACAGGTGTGGAGAGAGAGAAAAGTTGGATTAATCCAGGATTAGAAACTTTTCAGATGGATGTGACAAATAAACAGTGTAACACAAAAGTTTAGAATAATGGTTGAATTGAAAGAGGAGATATCCAGAAGGCAGCAAGATATATGGGCCTAGACTCACACGAGAGGTGATTTTTGGGAATTAGCAGCTTAGAGATGGTAGTCAAAACCATAAGACTAGATGAGATTATCTAGGTTGCAAGTGTTGAGAGAAGCTTAAGTACAAAACCCTAGAGAATCCCAATATTTGAAGAGCAAGAAGATGAGCCCTGGCTCACCCTGAGAAAGAGAAGCCGTAGAGAAATGAGGAAAGTCAGGGGGCGCTGGACCATGAAAGCCTAAGGAAGGAGAGAATGGCCAGTGATGATAAGTGCTGCTGAGAAGTCCAGCAAGTGGTCTCAGCACTTGGGGACAAGGGAAATGTGTCCCTCAAGAATTTGGAGATGTGAAAAGTCAGGTTGCCTCTGAGAAATAAACTGAAGAGTCAACATCACCTTAAAGTGAGAGAATAACTCTCAGCTCAGAAAGGTGTGATAGAGATTGATGGAATTAAGAATATGTACTATATATACACATACATGTATATATGCGTGTATACATCTATGCTTATATGTCTTGAAGGCCACAGAAGTATGGTTAAAAGCTGCTCTGGAGTCATATTGTCTAATTTTAAATCCCTACTCCACCACCTATTAGCTGTGTGACACTGGACAAGTTACTTACCCTCTCTGTGTCTCAGTTTCCTAATCTGGAAAATGAGACCAATGATAGAACCTATTTCATAGGACTGCTGGAAAGGTTAGATGCATTAGTGCAAGTAAAAGACTTAGAACAGTGCCTGGAATACAGAAAGTACTTAATAAAACCTAGAAATTATTATGGATGTGGTTAATAAAAAATGTGGGACTTTGTATATGTGAACAGAAGCCCCTAACTCCCTTTCCATTACCAGATCCCTACTGAAATCACCAAATAACACAAATATAGAGAAAACCGTGCATCAACATCAGATAGTTTAAGGAGTTTATGATAGAGTGAAGATGGTATTGGACTAAAGGTAGGAACCAAGAATGGATTCACATTCATACTGCTGTGAAAGCGACACCTGGAAAATGAGAGTCAAGGCCCAAATCTCACTCTGCTGGATTTACTCCTACCTCACTGGTCACTTGTTTAGTTTCTTTTCCTGGTTCCTCCTCTTGGCCACCATCTCTAAATGCTGTAAGGCTCCAGGCTCAGTTCTTGGCCCTGTTCTCTTCTCTATATTCACTCTCTTGGTGATCTCATCTAGTCCCTTGGATTTACCATCTATATGTTGACAACTCCCAGATTCATAGCTCCGGCCCAGGCCTCTCACTGACCTTCAGACTCCTATATCTAACAACTTACTTGACATTTCCACTAGGATATATAGCAGGCATATCAAACTCAACATATCTGAAAACAACTTCCTGATCTCCTCTCCATCTTCCAACTTGTTCCACTTGTTCCTTGTTCCCCATCTTAGGCCAAAAACCATGAAATCATCATTGACTCCATTCTTTCTCTACCCCACATCCAATGAGTGAGGTTCTACCTTCAAGATATATCAAGCATCCAACCACCTTTAACAAATTCAAAAGCTACTATCCTAGTCTCAGTTACCATTATAGCTTGCCTGGATTACTATACTAGTCTTCTAACTGGTTTCCTGCTTCTACACTTGCTTCCCTTCAGTCTATTCTCAACACAGTAGTGATCCTGTTAAAATATAAGTCATATCATGTCTCTCTCCTGCTCAATGTGCTGAAATGGCCCCATCTCACTCAGAGTCAGAGCCCAATTCCTCAGAGTGGTCTGTAAGGACCTGCATGATCTTACCCAGCCTTACCTCTCTGTCTTCATCTCCTACAACTCTTCTAACTCTCCCCACTCCAATCATATTGGCCTCACTTTGCTGTTGTTCGAAGACACCAAACTCTCAACTTAAGGGCCTTTTCCTTAGTCTTATCCTCTGCCTATAGCACTCTTAATCCAGATATCAGCATGGCTTGCTCCCTCAGTTCCTTCAAGTGTTACTTCAAATCTTCCCTCTCGATTAAAACTACCGTAATCAACCATTTTAATATTGCAACCTTACCTCCTGCCTGCTCTACTGATCTCCTTTACCCTGCTCTACTTTTTCTTTTTCCAAAGTACTGTCACGTTTTCACATGCCATATACCTACTATGTTTTTCCAGCTTTATTGAGCTATAATTAACATATAACATTGTGTAAATTAAAGGTGTACAACGTGTTGATTTGGTGCACTTATATATTGCAAAATGCTTACCACTGTAGCGTTGGCTAACACCTCCAACACATAACATAATTATCATTTCTGTTTTGTGGTGAGAATATTTAAGAACTACTCTCTTAAAAACTTTCAGGTATATATAATACAGTATTGTTAACTATAATCTGAATGCTGTACATTAGATCCCCAGAACTTATTCATCTTCTAACTGGAAGTTTGTACTCTTTGACCAACATCTCCTGTTTCCCCCACCTCCCAGCTCCTGACAACCACCATTCTACTCTCTGTCTCTGAATTTGGCTTTTTTAGATTCCACTTATAAGTGATATCACACAGTATTTGTCTTTCTCTGTCTGACTTATTTCACTTAACATAATGGACCCTCAAGGTCCATCCATGTTGTCACAAATGGCAGGATTTCCTTCTTTCTCATGGCTAAATAATATTCCATTGTGTATATACATATATCACATCTTATTTGTCCATTCACCCATTGATGAACATTTAGGTTGTTTACATATTTGGGCTATTGTGAATAATGGTGCAATAAACATGGGAGTGCAGATATCTCTTCAAGATCCTGTTTTCATTTCCTTTGGATATACACCCAAAAGTGGAATACCTGGCTCATATGGTAGTTCTATGTTTAAATTTTTGAGGAACCTCCATACTGTTTTCCTTAGTGGCTGCACCAACTTACATTCTCACCAAGAGTGCACAAGGGTTCCCTTTTCTCCACATCCTCGTCAACACTTGTTATCTCTTGTCTTCTTAATGATAGCTATTCTAAGAGGTGTGAGGTGACATCTCATTGTGGTTTTGATTTGCGTTTCCCTGATGATTAGTGATACTGAGCATCTTTTCATGTACCTGTTGGCCATTTGTATATCTTCTTTGGAAAAATGTCTATTTCAGTTCCTCTGTCCATTTTTTAAATCAGTTTGTTTGTTATTGAGTTGTATAAGTTCTTTATAGATTTTGGATTTTAATCCCTTATCAGATATATGACTTGCAAATATTTTCTCCCATTCCGTAGGTTGCCTTTTCATTTTGTTGATTGTTTCTTTTGCTGTACAGAAGATTTTTAGTTTGATGTAGTCTCACCTATTGATTTTTTATTTTTCTGCTTGTGCTTTTGGTGTCATATCCAAAAAATCATTGCCAAGACCAATGTCAAGGAGCTTTTTCCCTACGTTTTCTTCTAGGAGTTTTATCAATTCAGATCTTATGTTTAAGTCTTTAATCCATTTCAAGCTAATTTTTATGAGTCGTGTAAGATAAGGGTCAAGTTTCATTTTTCTGCATATGTTTATCCAGTTTTCTCAGTACCATTTATTGAAGAGACTGTCATTTCCCCATTGAGTATTCTTGGTTCCCTTGTCAAATATTAGTTGACTATATATGTGGGAGTTTAGTTATGGGCTCTCTATTCTTTTCCATCAGTCTATCTGTCTGTTTTTATGCCAGTACCATACTATTTTGCTTACTATAGCTTTCTAGTATTGATATTAGGAATATATCAATTCCTGGCTCAGGCTTTGTCCTTTTTTCTCAGGATTGCTTTGGCTATTCAGGGTCTTTTGTGGTTCCGTACAAAATTTTAGGATTGCTTTTTTTCTATTTCTGTGAAAAATGCCATTGCAATTTTGATAGGGATTGCATTGAATCTGTAGATGGTTTGTGGTAGTGTGGACATTTAACAATATTAATTCTTATGATCCATGAACACAGGATATCTTTCCATTTATTTTTGTCTTCAATTTCTTTCCTCAAAGTCTTGTAGTGTTCATGTACAGATCTTTCACCTCCTTGGTTAAATTTATTCCTAAGTATTTTATTGTTTTTGACACTATTGTGAATGGGATTATTTTCTTTATTTCTTTTCCAGATATTCAGTTGTTAGTGTATAGAAATGCAACTGATTTCTGTATGTTGATTTTGTATCCTGTAACTTTACTGAATTCGTTGATTAGTTCTAACAGCTTTTTGGTGGAATCTTTAGGATTTTCTATGTATATGGTCATATCATCTACAAATAATAATAATTTTACCTCTTCCTTTCCAATTTGGAGGCCTTTTATTTCTTTGCCTTGCTTTATTGCTTTGGCTAGGACTTCTAGTACAATGTTGACTCAGAATGGTGAGGGTGGGCACCCTTGTCTTCTTCCTTATCCTAGAGGAAGAGCTTTCAACCTTTCACCATTGAG